CTTTCTGATAAAAGCAGCAGGGAGTTATTGAGCAATCCCGTTCTTAAAGTGTATGTTTGCAGGGAAAATAAGACTTCAATCCTGTCTCTCCGTAGGCAACTCTATAGTGGCAAGAGGAATATTTTATCTGTTTCCTCATTACAGGGTGTTTCTTTTTACAGTGTATAGAATTGCACTGTCTTGTAGGATAAGATGTCTCTTAGAGTGCACAAAGGACCTGGTAGCAGGGCTTCAGTCTCCTTGGGCCCTTATTTATTTATTTTTTTCCAAGATCACAATTCCCTCTTTGTCATTCTGTGAATGGTGCTGATGATAATACTTCAATTTTTAATATCCTTATGATTATTTAAATTTTAAATAAGGATATATATACATCAAATTGAATCTTAGCAAGCATTTTAAGTACTTTTGTCTAATCACTAACTTAGTTGTCATTGACTCATTTATCATCATTATTTATTTTAATATGCTTAGTTTGCATCATCAAGTGTATTGGCTAGACTTTGACATTTTGAATAATATTATGAATCCTGCAACATTCACAGACCTTTCTTTTAGGATTCTTAAGGAGCACTGATGGGTAACGAAATGTGTATTGTTCAGGAATGAGGGAGGGCGTGAAATAGGGCTGCCTGTTGCTCCTTCGTCTGTGAAAGGGCCAAATGGATGCAAGTCTCTGGTCAGAAGCAGCAGTTCTTCTTCCCAAAGATCTATCTGCTAGCTCTGCTTCTACTATCATATCTTTTTTTTTTCTTCTTGTTTTAATGGTGATTTTCTGCAAACATTAGAACATAGAGATTCATGCAGCAGAGAGCCATTTGCTAATAACACACATTTAACCACTGTAATTGTCTTTGCATTTATTTTCCATCTCTTCTGTCCCTCCTGGTCATATTTCATTTCACCTTTTGCCAGAGATTCTGGGTGAATGTGTGTCTGTCCATTTGTGGTTCACAAGTAGTTCTGCAGATGTGTATGTCTATAAAGAAGATATATTGTTATTGGTCCTTACACAGTAACATATCATTTCCTGGGATTTTTAAAGTATGCTTTTTATTCACTCAACATTATATACTTAAAGTTAGTTTATTTTGATACAAGTACATTTTATTTACTTATTTTAGTGAATCCACTATTTGACCATACTAAATTTATTTTTCTATTCTTTGATGGAAGAGTGTTTGGATTATTTTTACATACTTGCTTCTAAAAATGACTCTGATTAGAGATTGTGTAGCTGGAAAATGCTTGCACATGATCTAACATCCTCACCTTCTGCTTCTATGACGTTTAAGCTTTATTTTCAACAAAAAATTTATCTTCACAATGTAGCATCTTGCATATGAATAAATAAGTAAATGAATAATTAATTTCTAAAACCTTACTGGGGGGTAGATAGTAACATTTCTGAACCAAATTATAAAGTGTTTCACTCTGTGAATGCAAAGATTTTTTTTAAGAGAGAGAGAGAGAGAAGAGAGAGAGAGAGAGAAGAGAGAGAGAGAGACAGAGAGATAATTTTTTAATATTTATTTTTCAGTTTTCGGTGGACACACATCTTTTTTATTTTATTTTATGTGGTGCTGAGGATCAAACCCAGCGCCCCAAGCATGCCAGGTGAGCATGTTACTGCTTGAGCCACATCCCCAGCCCAGATTTTTTTTTAAGTGATCTCTCTTCTTGCTTCATAAATAAATAAAAAGGAGTGAATTTTTTTGAAGTGTAATGGACCAACCTGCACTTTAGCTAACGAGAACTTCTACACAGCATTCCGGAACTGCAGAGACTCAAGGTCCCTCTCCACATATGACTCTTTAAGTGGTCGCTTCACTGTACTCGGTTTACCTGTGGAAAGGACAAGCAGCTTCTTCTAAGGTTAATTTCTTCCCAGAGAGGAATTATTTGCTCATCTAAACATGATAGGAATTTTGACGTCTGAGAAAGCTAAATAATGTTTAACACCTCCAAAGTTACTGTTATAAGCTATAAAACTTAAAGATTTAAATATAGATAAATGATTTTAAAATTGAGTGTTTTTGAAAACTTCAAAATAATCATTAGCTCTCCATATCTTTGAGTTTTACACCATGGATTCAACAAACCAATGAATAAAAATATTTGAAAAAAATTGCATCTGTATTCAATATGTGCAGATTTTGCCATTATCCCCCCCCAAAAAAAACACAATATAACAACTGTTTCCATAGCATTTGTACTGAATTCAGTAAAATAATTAATGCAGAGAAGATTCAACACATGTGAGAGGAGATGTGTAGTTGTATGCAAATATGCACATAAAATGTACATTTTATGTAAGTAGCTATTCAAATTTCTGTGAAGGGTCCTGGAACAATTTTTTCACAGATATCAAATATTTTTGAATACACAATCAATTAAATATCACTTTTAACCATTTTACTTTTCATTTGTGCATGTTTTCTCTCTCAGAATATACAGAACACTGAAGAGTGTCCATAACAGTTATGTATTCATGCCATTGTTACATATAGCTCGTATTTATAAGTATAAAACTACAAACATTGATGATAGTTAGTTTTGCATGTTGACTGGGCTAACCTAGACCATGTTCCCATTTGTTGGTCCACAAGTCCTGATGCTGTCACAAAGGTATTTCTCATATATAATCAGCCTTTAAATCCGTAATGTTAGAAAAGGTAATTACCCTCCAGAATGTGATAGGTCTCATCCAAGAGGTTAGTGGGCTTAAGAGAAAACACTTAGGTTTCCTGATGCAATTCCAGGAAGCAATTCTGTCTTAAGATTCTGACCTAGAAAGTCGTCCTGAGGGTCCTGTGTGTCTCCATCGCAGGACTGTTCCACCACCCTTCCCCACGTCTCCATATTTTTAGCCTGTTGGTCTGCTCCTCAGGGAGGCGATTCCTCTGTCCCAATATCCCATTGCTTCTGATTCTTTGGAGAAATCTGGCCGACAGACTGATGATACATTTAAACACCTGCTTTAGAAATGGGGTAAAACTGTTAAGAGTAAAGATATTAAGTGAATATCATTTCACTGAAAAATCTAAAGCACAGTGACTTTGTAGCATAACTTTCTAATTAACAAAATTTTGCTCTCTATTTTATTAATCCTTTTTGTTTCTGTATGTTTTCATCCCCCCCACACACACACATGATGATATTGAACTGGATTAAATAAAGAAAATGCATAAGAATTAAATTGCCTCCTGAATACATTTCATTGAGTTCGGTAAGATATGAAATTCTTCAGGAAGTCACCCCAAATATAAAAGCAGATAAAATGCTGTCTGTTATTTAAAATCTGTTATTTATAAGGCTTCTTTGATTATTGGACTGATCTCAGCTGAAGTTATGTGATGTTATCGTCTGTATTGTACCCACGCTGACTCACAAGAGGCACTTTGGCAATAGTGTTTCAACGTATTAAAGCAATATCTGCTCTTACATAAAGAAGAAAATTAAAATAACCCAAACTTCAGATTAATTATTGTTCAGGGATTGCAATATGTATCCTTGACTTCTCCAACCTACTTAGAGTTAACATTATTTCACCTTCCCCGCAATGTGGGACTTTCTGCACCAGGCCCTTGTTTCTGTGTCCTGTTCTGTGTGCTCCGGTCATCATACGTGATGCAGTTGAATGTGCCAGAAGTCCCGTAAAACATCGTGATTTTTGTGCTGTCTATATATGCTAAGTAAACTAAGGAAGGTAGTATTTTTATGTGCACTCACACATTTGCTCTTTTGTATACTTGAAGGGCCAGATTCATTATTTAAGTACAGAATGACATGCAGTCAGTGTTTTCCCTCTCTTGACTATGATGTCACTCTGTCTGTGGAATCTGACAATGTCTTAACTCCACCTTCAAACTGCAAGAATATTTTCAGCACCTACAGAAGTCGATGTTGATAATCATTTTTATTTACTTTCCTTTTAGTAAAGATGTCACTCAATTGTTTTCTGGCCTCCATTCATTAATAGGTTAGCTATCGTTTCTCAGACCTTCTCGAATAAACATTTTTTTCCGTCAATTTTGAGAAAATTGTAGACCACATTCTGTCAAATATTCTTTTTTCGGATTTACTTTCTCCCTGGTGGCTCTCTGCTTCTCAGAATAATTCAGGCAGCTTTGTTTGTGATGAACTCTGTCCTGTTTTTCAGCAGTTAAATTGTTGGTTTCCATCAGACTTCTAAGGTCCTTTATAGTGGTTCTCTGGTCCTGCCTTCAGGTATAACGTCTTATAAATGTCTTTTTTTTCCCCGAGTTGTAAACTCTCCTCCAATGTCTGCCTGACTTTGGTTGCTTCCTGATGCCTTCAGTGGCCTCCATATTCTTCTCTCTCTCTCTCTCTCTCTCTCTCTCTCTCTCTCTCTCTCTCTCTCTCTCTCTCTCTCCCTGCATAAGAGTTGGTCCTATAAGGCAGGCACATGACTACTAGGGAAGTGGAAGGAAAACTCTTTCATTAGGCAGATCATTTTACCCCTTTGCATTTTTCTCAAAAGGTTTTCCCACTTACTTGACAACAAGTTCTGAAAATCATAAGAAAATCTGGTTGCTAACTGGTAAGCAAGAATCTCTTCTCCTAAGAAGATCCTAAGTATTATATCTTACCAATTTGCTCTCACTTGGTTACAAACTTATATCAAACTCCGAATCTTCTCTCAACCATTGAAATCATACTTATCAACCTATGATTACAAACTGAAATTATTTTCAGGCTGATTTTATAATATCCAATATGCACATACTTTCTAAAATTTGCTCACATAAGTAAACATCCCAGGTGTGATCTCCAGGACCTTGGAACAGAGGAAGCCTGCCTCAGCCCCTCTTGTGGAACCCCATGGTCTCCAGGCTTCTGTCCAGACTCTGACTCCAATGGGCGCAACGGAATCCCCTGCTCTTGACTGCAGCTACGGCCAGAATGTTTATGTCCTCCAAACTGCTTATGCCCTGACCCCTCCATGGGATTTTTTTTGTTGTTGTTGTTAAATCTTAAAAATGACAACTAAATATTTACTTTTAAAATATTTACAGTACATTGGCATTAACTCTCACTTTCTCTATTCTAATGTTTCTTTGTTTTTTCCAAGCAATGCAATCCCCACTACCCCAATTTTCTATATGGCATTAGCATTCACTTTGCTAGGGAAAATGTGCTTGCTCACATGTACACCAACAGGTGCTTCCTGTACCTTAATAGCTTACTCATTGGTCCATCTATTATGCAAATACTCATATGCCCATCTTTGCACATTGGATTTCTTTAACTTGGAAATAATAGAATTGCACTTTGCTGTAAAGAAAATTGCATAAGACAGTGTCAGTGACAATATGAGATATACAGCTTGAGGTCAACTAAGGTTCCTCTCCTCCTGATCCCATTACCACATGGTGCCCTTCTTTTGGGGATTTTCTTGCTTCTGGGTCTATTCTGAGCTGCCTTTGTCATTACTTGCATTGACCAAGAGAATATTTATATTAACAAATGTATTTTTAGGAACCTGTAGGAAAGATGTTGAATGCCATAGACTAATTTTGACCTTCATAATGTGGCCAGGTTAATTACTAGTTAATGAAAACCATTTATTTTGCCTACAATGAGCTTCTCACCAGGAGTTTTCCCACCTAATTAATAATGACATGTTATATGAACCTCATCCGGCATTTTGCACCCAATTCAAGGCAATTTCAGATATTAATAATCCACAATACAATTGATTATGTCTCTGCCAACAATGATAACAAATTCTGGTGAAGAGTTTTGTGCAAATAAGCAGCACATTTTCCTCTTAAATAGTATGAATAAGTTAAGAATATTTCTTTGTCTCAAGATTTAATTTAAAAACCCACCCTTGTTCAAAATTTAAGCCCTGTTCTAGCTCATCCTTGTACTTCTCTCAGCACTTTAAATAATAATATTCAGTGACTGGTCTGTTTTCCAAACAGACCCAAGGCTACTTAAGAGCCTTATCACAAAGGAAATGTGAATATTGCAGATTTTTACCAACATGGGTTTGATGTATTTGTCCACGTTGGTCACATGCACCTGTAAAATGAATTTTCTCCTACTTATTTGTCATATTTGTGTCAGCTTTCCTCTTTCTTTGCAGGTGATATAAGTTTACATAACATATTACAACGACTTTGATGCTGGTTCCCACCTCGGGGGCTCGTGGTTGTCTTACACACGCATTCCTGCTGCAGATCTAACCAGAGTTGTGTGACTCCCAGAGGGCACAGGTGTGGAACTGCTCACTCCACTCCGGGTAGTTGTGGTTTCAGCAGGGGCTCAGTGACTTGCTCTTTCCCTGATCACTTTCTGTGAGCCTCTAGTGGTACCTTCACCCAGGCCAGCCCATTGCTGTAGGGCTGTTGATAATGCCTGACCCAGAGTATAAATTGCTCTGCAACGTTTCAAACTGTAGGACCCACTACAGGCCAATCACGAGGCCAGGTTTGAGGCTTGTTCCCATCCCATGAAGGCTCCTCTTTACCATTTCTTTCTCCTGTTCTCTCTAGTAACCTCTGGTTTCCTATTTAGCAATTGCTCTCATGGAGTAATTGGCTACCTGTTAATTGCTCACCAAAATGTCTCAGTTTCCTTTAAGCGCAACCTCTAGACTCCAGTCATCTCACTCTGCTGCAAATAAAGCCCGTTCTTCTGGATCAGACTCAGTCTTCTGTCTTTACCAGTCGCTGCTCCCACCGACAACACTTCCCTTCCAAGGCTCTGCACTGGGGTCGGGACCCCGGCCCACTGGGCTGCCTCCAGGAAAGGATGCTGAGCAAAGCGGTCAGTCGCTGACTTCTGCAGCTTGTTCCTCTTAGCATGTGCTATTGTTGTGTGTGTGTGTGTGTGTGTGTGTGTGTGTGTGTGTGGGTGTGTGTGTGTTCAGTGCTGGGGATTGAAGCCAGAGGCTCCTGGATGGAAGGCCAGGGATCTACCTGAGCTACATGCACAGTCTTTCTAGGGCATGATCTTGAAGAGGATTGGGGACCCTCGTCTCTTCTGCTCTCGTTTTCATTCCTGGCCATGAGACCCAGGCCCCTCCACCACACACCCACGGTGTGATATCCTATGCCACCACAGACCTATCCACCATAGAAGTCTCGAAACCTGTGAGCCAAAGGAGACCTTTTTTCCAATAAGCCGATTACCCCAGGTCTTATAGTAACAGCATGAAACTATGAGCCAGGTGGGTGAAGAGCACCCTGAGGCCAGCGTGCTAACTCTCAGTGTGCGCTCTCACCTGATGCGCAGTGGTTGGCTGGATGAGAAACAAAACTAGAATAGCTTCTCGTTTGTACCAAGAATGGTGCCTGCACATCACAGAGCTGGGGAGTCAGGTAGGAGACACTGATGACCTGCCCATGCTGGGGGACAGCTTCAGCCCTCTCCTGGGTGCTGAGGAGAGAGGGACCCAGTGGTGTCAGAGTCCACAGTCATACTGAGGTGAGAAGATGGACAGGCCAAGTGCCACAGAGTGTGACTATTTTTACCTGGATTTTGCAGTCTCTTAAATAAATGTTTCTTCATTTGCCATAAACCTAGAGACTTTGAATGGTGGTGGCTTATTCATTTTCATTTCCTTTTTTGTCAGTTTTACTTTTGCTTAGGAGAAGAGGTCTGGGGAACTCTACATGCCACCACCCTGGAAGGCATCACCTAGAATAGTACTTTTAAGGTTAGGGACCAAAAAGAAAATTTCAATAGAAACTTTTGCTTTATTTTTCAAATATTCATGTCCATTAATTTTCTAGGTTCAGTTCAGCACAATATCTACATTTCTAACAGCTTGATACGGAATATTATATTTGCATGAGTCCTTGACAAACCCTGTGTTTATGAAGCTACTGAGTCTACTCCTATCATTAAAAATAAGAAAAACCACAATCTCAGGCAATAAAGGTGGCATGTTTTTTCAAGAATTTTGCTACTTATTCTAACTCTGATTCAGCAATTAACATGAATTTTTAATTAATTAATATAAATTCACCCTGTAATTGTGGGAGCAGATAATAGGCCCTTCTTTTCACTTTTAAAATTCCCTCAACTTCAGAG